TCTTAATCACTGAATAAGCCTTGCCTCAGTCAAACTGAGACCTGTTAAAGACCTTAGCTTGAAAAAAGTCAAACCCCTACTATGTGCCAGGCTTTGTGAAACGGCTAGAGTCATGAAGGACTTTCAGCACCAGAGGATTTTTTTCTTTGATCCTGGAGAAGACAGGCAGTCATTGGAGGTTATTAAATAGGGGGATTATTGGTTCTTCAGGAAGATCAATTTGAATAGAGGTCAGATTTGAGTTGCAAGAGAGTTGTAGCATAGAAATGAAACGAAAATCTATGGCAGTAATCCAGGAATAAGGTATTTAGGGCCTGAGCCAGATTGGTTGTTATATCAGAGGAGAGAAGGCGACCTATATGAGAAATGCTATAAAAATAGAATAGCTAGCACTTAATAAATATTTGCTGAATGACTCCTATATCCACCTTCTCAGGTCTATCTCATATTAGGTACTACTCCCTAGAGAGATAGAAAAATGGGGAAAGACTATGAGACTTGGCTGTGTTATAAGGTGATTTTGTTACTAAAACAATGTACTAAGAATGGACATTCCAAATGGTTGCCATTATGTAGATATCATTTTATAGCCCAAAAGACTTATTTGGAAGCAGCTGGTGGTGAGGTGGTTAGAATGCTGAACCTAGACTCAGGAAGACCAGAGTTCAAATATGGCCTTAGACACTAGCTTTGTGACTTTGAGCCGGTCACTTAACCTCTGTCTGCCTCAGTCTCCTCAAATGGGAATAAGAATAGCACCTCCCAAGGTTGTTGTGAGGATAAAAAAAAAGACAATTATTTGTACATTCTTGAACACAGCACCTGGCATAAACTAGGCACCTAATAAATGTTTCCTTTCTTTCTTCCTTCCATTTGAGGAATGTGAGAAATGTGCAGACCTTCCAGTCTTCTTGAATGATAACAATACGTTGCATTCATGGAACACTTTACTGCAACAAAATAGTTTGAAAATATAAGTTCATTTATAACTGGCATTCTTTTTGACTACTTCAAGACACTCAGGGCTAAGACTGGCAAACTTATGTTATACTCTCTCTCAAGCACAGAGGTAGTGGTTTGTGAACATTTTACTTTTTGTGAGAGTCACAGACCAAGATTATTTGAATGAACATCATCATCAATTGAGTTGGGAATTCTGAATATAGACACCACTAACTGACTGTCAGATTAAAGAAACTTTCCCTTTTTAGATTTCTGTTGTTTGCATTATGTCCAATAAGCCTTTGAGATTTAGGGGAAATATTATTATTATTTTCCTTATATTGTTATTATACTTTTTCTAGTCCTGTGAATAGGATGGAGTAAGTAGTAAATAGGAGTCACAAGTTAAGCTAAAAGAATGCTTAAATTAAAAGATGCTTATTTTAGGGAAGAAAGGCTTAGAGTTTGTATACTAAGTTTATTCAAGGATTAGGAAGTTTGTTGTGGAAGAAGCATTTGATTTGGGAGAGTTAGGAGCTGTGGGTGGAAGTTGCAGATAGGAAAGTTTTATCTCAATTTAAAGAGTGATTTCTTAATGAGTAGAGCTGTCCTAGAGTCAACATAGCGAGCTTCCCATGAAGGAGGTTTTCCAAGTGAAAGGTAAATAAAAACATGCTGGTGATATCATAGTCTGAATTCCAAATCAGTCAAGGATTACAACCAAATAGTTTAATGGATAAAGCCTGGATGTGGAGTCAGGAAGATTTGAAACTATTCTGTCTGTGTTTACAGATCTGTATAATGAAGATAATCATCCATCTACCTCCCAAGTTTCTGTAAGGCTAAAATTAGTTATTAAGTATCCAATTATTTATTTTAATAATAATTTTATTAATTATATAATATTATTATAATGATAATGAAACTGCCATACATGGTTTTGTTCAGACTTTTGTGGAAGTTTAGCTATTCTGAGCAACAACACAATTTGTTGGAGGCTTAGTTTCCTCATGTACAAACTGCAGATATCAAAATTTGCATTACTTCCCTAATTTTTTGGGTTGTTGTTGTAAAAGTCTTGAGGCCCCAAACTATGCTGTATTTTATTTTCATATTTTTACCTCCTAACATGATGCCGTATATAGAGGAGGTGCCTGATAAATGTTGAATTTGTTGAATGAAATTATATAATTTATATGAGATGATTTTACAACCATAAAATATTTCATAAATATAAGACATTGTTATTATAATTAGGTTTTCATTTTCATTAGGTTTTTATTATTTTTACCTCCTTCAATATATCTTTCTCCTTCCCTCCCCCGATGGGTGTTCCTTATAACAAAGAATAAATAAAGAGGAAAAAAAAGGAGTTCAGAAAAATCTAATCTCCATGAAGAAGGGAATGAGGTCCATTTTCAAACTGTATCTCTCTGGAGACAAGTTTGCTCAGTATAATGACACATTGTTTAGCTTTCATTATTGTTTTAGTAATGGTTTTCATTTTTATTGGTTTAGTCACTGTGCATATTGTTTTCATGGTTTTGCTGATGTCACTTTGCAAAAGTTCATGTAAGTCTATGCTTCTCTATTTATCAAATACATAGTAATATTTCATTATATTCGTGTGCCAAAATTTTTAAGCCATTTCCCAATCAGTAGGCATCTATTTTATTTCTAGTTTTTTGTTATTAAAAAATGTTGCTATTTTGCTGTCTATGGGATGTTTCTTTCTATCTTTGTCTTCCATGTATTCTATCTTACTAGCAATAGGTTATCTGGGTCAAACGACATGGGCATTGTAGTCACCTTCTTAACATAAATACAAATTGCTTTCCAGGGCTTTACTGTGCCTGTCTTTATATAATACTTCTAAGACTAACTATTCTCATTTCATTTTTTTGTCATTTTTATCAGTTTTCTAAGAGTAACATGAAATCTCAAAATGGTTTTATTTTTCCTTTCTAATTATTAGTAATTTGCAGCAATCTCTCACATAGTTATTTTAAGTTATTAGTGTTAATATTAATCTAAATGAAAAGGATAAAATTAGGGGAGGCAGTGTGATTCAGCGGAATGAATTCCAAATTTGGAGAGAGAGCACCTGAATTAAAATCCCATTTATATTTTTTATTATCTGTGGGTAGCCCTTGGACAAATCAGTTAAACTCTTTGAAACTTTGTTTCATCATAGGCATAGGGAGGTGGTAAGGCTATAGGACCTGGAAGGTCCCTTCAAAAACTAAATCTTTTATCCTAACATCTTATTTATTAGTAACATGGGCAGTGGGAAGAAGAAATATGGATGGATTTGTGCTATCATAAGAGATTCTTTCAGAATTTTTCTCTAAAGTTGGAAATTAAAGTATCTGGAAACTACTAAATTCTACCTGTTAGAATTTATTATAATTAGAGTTCCAAATTTTGGCATCATATGGCCAAAAGTATGTCTACAGATTTAATACAAGCAAATGGCAAACAGAAATTTTCTATATAATAATTTAATGTCTTATTCATACAAGGCCTTTATTTTTAAATGTTTAAAATGTTTTGGTTTTTGTCAATCCTCTTGTTCTATGGTCAGGACTCTTTGTTATATTTTCTTAGGGGCAAAATTCTGGTTGAATCCCATAAAAATATTATTTTGTCTGGCTAGCAAATCATCTAGTTTATACATCATTCAAGACATTTGCCATATGAATGGGACATGGTCTGGTCTGTGTGTGGTAACAGGGATGGGGCAATCCTGAAATTTAAAAATTTGTACTTGAACTTTTTCCTTTTCAGTCTGTAAAGTGTCATTATTATTAAGTTTTGATGTTTGTTGAGGCTTATTCTCTTGACTTTTCCTCAGAGTCATTCAAAATGATTAGCTTCAAATTATTGGTAAGCAAGCTCATTTCCAAAGTACTAATAAGTTCACATAAGCCTAAGAAGTTTTTGCACAGGGAGTTTCATCTTCTCCCCTACCCCCCACCCTTCTGCTTCCCTCCTCTTAGGACTAGACAACTAAGTAATAGCCTTCATTCTTGGTTTGTTCTGATGAAGCATTCATCCCGGGCACATAAAACCAGGCTCTAAGTCAGGGGATCTGGGTTGTAGTAACAGCTCTGATACTCACCACCTCTGTGAGGGAAAAATCACTTTGCCTCATTCTGCCTGAGTTATTGAATGAAGTGACTGGAGTAAATGATCTCTGATATTCTTTACAGTTTTAAATGTGTGATCCTATGAATTCAGCCCCTCTTGATATTCTTAGAGGACAAGATCTTGAGTTTCTCAAGGATAGAAACTTTATATGGGAAATTATAATAGTAGGAAAATGTAAGTGTTAGTGGGAAACCAAGGGCAGGCAAGGGTGTTGATGTTAAGTAATAGAAATGCTTATTATTATTGCTTAGACTAGAATAGCTGTGGGGAACCTGCACCATCTTGATCTACAAAGTCAACTTTGAAGACCTATCAGGGTTGGTATCTAAAGCAGTTGCCAACTACCTTCCCTCTTCCTCACAATTTATAGGGGTGGTACAATAGGAATGAATGCTGGGTTTGGAGCAAGAGGACATAGGTTCAAGTTCCAGCTTTGCTATCTGTCACATTTGGGACCTTAATAACTATTTAATTTATCTGTCCTGTTTCCCCAACTGTAAAATGAAAAGGATGAAGTAGGTAACTTCTGAAATCCCTTTCAACTCTCCATCTATGATATTTGGGTTCCCATAGAGAATGTAAATTTGATACCTTGAACTGTCAGCACCTCCCTTGATATTCCTCTATGTTTGCCCTGCTCACCAATTCCCCTCCACAGTCTTCAATATGGCAATCATAAGACTTAAGTGAAATTAAAAAAAAAAAAAAGAAACAACAAACTTCCTTCATGAGGAAAAGTTTAGGGACCTGTGCCTTAGACTTAAAAATAAAATATACGACTAATTCAACATCAAATTATGTTGTACAATACATGAAATTGAAACTTCCACAATGGAGATCTGCTCTTAAAATATCCACATGTACATAGTGTTATGTAAGATTGTTTCAATATGTAACTGATATTGAAGTTACAGTTAAGCAGAGTGGTTATCGCTTTATTGGACACATTGTTTCCAAAGGCAAAGAAGACTTAACAGCTTCAGTGAACAGAGTATGACTAGTTGGTAAGTTAATGTGTACAGTAACTTTCAATTAAACTTCAGCAGAAAAAGTAAAAATACCAAATGTTCCTTTCAATTTTTTTTATGGCTAAAATTCTGCAAGAATCATTTACCAAGAAAAACTCATGACTGATCTTGAGTTAATTCCAATCCCAAAATTTCAGGTAGAATAGATTGACCATGTTTACATGAAAGCAAGAAGGCATACAGTATGTTCTAGATATAATTTTTTTATGCTGCTAATGTCAGGAAAACATGGCATATGTAATATCTTTCATGATTTAGGGTTAGAGATGTTCAGCCATCGAAGATACGGAGCACCACCTCCTGTGGCATTCTTAGGAGTTCTTCTCAGAAATCTTGATTGTGACAGTCTTGACTTCAGTGTATTCATGGAGACCATATTCTCCCCTAGAGGGAAAAGCAATCCAAAATTGCATTTGAGATCTCAGTATGAATTTGGACCTGTTCATTAGGTTAAGTATAAGACAAGGTAGGGGAGTGGCTGAAGGGCAGTCCTGCTTCTGACTTGTGCTAGCTATGTGACTATGGGTAAGTCACTTAATGTCCAAGTGCTTCAAATCTCAAAGAATATAAATTCATGTTGAGTTGCTGATCTTTATCACTAAAAGATATTTCTACATTGGGAATTACCCATATTCACAAAATTCCATCTATGGACCCTCCACAAATCCTTTGGATTAATGCCTTCAGAAGCATTCTATCATCTCAGAAACATCAAGAATAGAAGCAATAACTATTAGAGACACCTTCTACACTAATAATTCCTCTCCTATAAAATCAAATAAAAAGTTATGGCCTTTTGGATGCCCAGCTACATTGTTTTAGAAATTGGAAGTTTTAACACTGATGTTCATATTATAGTTAAGTAATACAGGCATTACTTCATCAGATACAGAGCTGAAATTCTAGGAAACATTTCCAAAATCAAGTGCAGGGGAATATCTAGCTACATAAGTAACTGGCAGGAGGGGATGGAGGCTAAGGAGAGGAGTGAGATAGCAACACAGTGCAGAGGACAATTGGAGGGGACAGGGAGACAAAATATAGACAGGACAGTTCAATTATGTGCAGTTTCAATGGGAAAATGAGTGGCCTGCCTCCTGTTTGTCTTCTAAGAGCTCCATCTCCTAGAGCCCATATCCCATTTCCAAATTGCTGAAGAGGTGCAGGATGGCAGCCAGTGAGGAAGGGAATATGGGGACATTTATAATATGGGGAGAGTAGATATGCCTTTTTTTCCTTATCGACACCTGATGCAAAGTCCTGGCCACCCTTTCCTAGGTGTATCTCTAGGTGAGTGGGATTCCAAAACACAAGTGAATATTGTATAGGGAGCTTAATCTTCATAGTACTCAAAAAGCATTTTATATCTGTTATTAAATTATCATGAGATTAAAGGTGACCATTCAATAGACAAGTTTAACATTGAGAACTTCTAATATTCCTTCAAATAAATACCACAAACAGCAAAACTAGAAGAAACCAATACTTCTAAAAAAGTAAATATCATAAAAATATTACAGAGGAATTAAAAGCTCAAGTATGTATTACCAGCCAACAATATTCCATATTATATTTATCTTGTTGGCTGGCATGAAATGAAAAGACCTTTGCTTCTAAAATGTGGGTGTGTCTACACATGTGCACACAAACATGTTTTGAAACCAAAGTTTAAAATCACCTTATTACATGTTTTGTTATAAGCAAAACAGCAGAAAACAAACAAAAATCCATCTTTCTCTTTAGAACTGAATTCAGCTTCCCTCTCCAACTACCTCCCTCCAAAACACAATTAAACACACTTTATGTAGACACATCCTTAACTCCCCAGAAAATCATTCAAGTTGGTCTGAACCTTAATGGCTCACTACTAATACTGAAAGACTTTGTACCCATCCTAAGAACTTATTTGCCATGTTTAGATAAGTGAAAAAATAGGGATAAGTAACCCTTTGGACATTACTCCTATTGCGGACTTTGTAATCTAGCTCAATGGATTTTCTCACTGTTCCTCACACTCAACTCTCCATCTTTGGTCTTTATAACTTTTCACTGGTTGTCCCATTTGCCTGGAATGCAATCACTCCTTAACTTATGCTTCCTAGCCCCTTTCTTCCCTTTAAGATGCAACTCATATAGCTTTTACATGGAACTCATCCTGATTCATCAAATAACTTTTTAGATGTTCTAAACACACTTAATGCAAAGCCTGTTATTCTAAATTTTTTTTCTTTTTCTTAATAATGGAAGCTCATCTGGTTACAGCTTTGCTTGTATTTAGAGTCTTTTCATGCTATTCTTGTGCCTTTTTTGATGAGACCCTTGATGAGGGGTGGGGAACCTGTGGCCTCATGGCCACGTGTGGCCCTCTAGGTCCTCAAGTGCGTCCCTTTGACTGAATCCAAACTTCACAGAACAAATCCTCTTAATAAAAAGATTTGTTCTGTAAAACTTGGACTCAGTCAAAAGGTTGCTTCCAAGGACCTAGGAGGCTGCATGTGACCTTGAGGTCGTAGGTTCCCTACCCCAGGCCTATATAATACACGTGGGTTGAAAGAGTGTTGTTGGGTTTTTTTTTTTAAATAAAACTATGTGTGAATATTTGAGGTCCTAAATCTCAACTGAACAATTGTTCTTTTTCAAATTTGAAAGTCATGAAGTTATCCTGCTCTCTTCTATTATTTTCCAAAAAATAATGTGTCACTTAAACATCACAAACTTGGCTCCTGTGGGAATTCAGCCAACAGTGGTATATGTAGTTTGAACCAAAAATCTCAAAAGAGATTTCTTTCTCTCTGAGTTCTTATGGGAGACCTTACTGAAAGTTACTTTTTAGTGTATAAAGAGATGCCTGTTATGGGTTGGAATGCTTTGTACTTTTTATCTGTGATATTTGATTTCATCGTGCCTTGTCATTCTGAATTAGCTAACCGGTGCATTTGTGAATATTTCTGAAATGATTAGTTTATCATGTCCTAGTCTTTAGTTCCCTGGCCTTATTTACCATTTAATTTTCAGCATTTCCAGACTTCTCATGTGTGATGAACTTAGAATCACATCATTTCAGAACTAGACTTACCTGGTCCAATCCCTTCATTTGTTAAGATGTAGAAACTAAAATTTACAGTATAAGCTATACCACTCTGTTATTTTATGACTACTCAATTAATTCAAAGGTCCAATTTGAAGAATATATAGTAATGGCTTGGCAGTAACCCCTCAAAAGAAGAGCCAATACTTGGGGCAGATAATGTAAGAGAGAAAGTGGGAGAAGGTAAAAGTATTTGCATATTCTTTTTCATACTAATCTGTAGAACTTAAGATTCAATGAGTTATTTAGGCTAACAGGTTCCTAAGAAAGAGTAAGGCAGGCACATGATAAAAAAGAGATTCTGAACTCATTCCCTAGCACACAGGTAACATCAACTAATATCATGAAGACAAATCTTAAATAACACATATTGTAGATATGCCACATAAAATGCCAAAAGGCTTTAGTTACAATTCTCGCCCATTTCCAGACATCTTGAATCCACCAAAAGGGGCTTGAGGAGAAAACACACCATAGCAATTCACCCTGCAAAGACAAGAGTTTTTACACTAACATTTTGATTCAGTTAGCAGCTGTTTAGTGCCTATTATGTATGAGGTTAATTTGATTTGATTTTTTTGGACGGGAAAAGAGGAAAGGAAAGTGAGTAAGCATTTATTAAGGGCTGACTATGTGTCAGGCCCTGTGTGCTAAGTGCTTTACAAATATTATCTCTTTTGATTTTTGGACGAGACCTGTAATTTCATTGGGACACAGAACTCCCAGTGAAAAAAAAGTTTCTCTACCAAAACAGACCTACATCTGCTCTGCAATTTATAATCCTAAATGCCTCAGGATGTTAAGTGGTTAAATGACTTGTCCAGAGCTATGGCCAATATGTGTTAGAGGCAGGCCTTGAACGAAGATCTTCAAGATTCTGAGGTCATATCTTTATCTACTATGACAAACAAGGTTCGTAGTAGATAATCAATGCAAAATTTTCTAGGTTTATATGAACTAAAAGGATGAAAGCATTTAACTCTTTAGCTATTAACTCTAAAGTAATTTATATACTTACTTTACTGATTCAATGGCATTGTCATCTCATCAATATGGGTACTCCCTCTACTGGAGGAGAATATACCCCATCCATTCATTTCATAGCCTATGTGACTCACAAGAAGCCAAAAGAACTTATATTTTTATTACATTTTAAAGGATAGCATCACAAGAAAGTCTTCACTGCTTATAAGCTATGCCATGAATGATGTTATAAAGATAGCAAGTAAATGGGGTAGTCATCCATACTTAATATCTCATACCTCTCACATGGGTATGTGGACACCTACTTATTCTCTGGACTATCTCATTCACTTTAACTTGCTCTCTTACTGAAGGGTCTAGGTTCTCACCAAAACAGACTGCCAAATGTGGTTATATTAAAATTTTCTCAAGATCCTAGGGTTAACCATATTTAGGGAGATATATACTTTCCATATTCACCATGTTAGCTCTTGAGTCCCCACTGATGCATTTTCATTTAAACAAACCAGCCACTCTTAATGATGACACTTTTGAGTTTTAAATAAAACCATTTACTTAACAATAAGGCAAAAGAAATAACAATAACATCATAGGGATTAATATATTAAAGCAAATACATGAGCAATAAAACATTACAATCTACAAATAATAATAATAATAACTAGCATTTATATAATACTATGTGCCAGGTACTGTGCTAAGTACTTTATAATTATTATATCATTTGATCAATTTATTCAAAATTATACTGGGGGGTAAGTAAACTGAGGTAAAGAGAGTTTAAGTAATCTACCCAGGGTCACACAGCTAGTAGGTTTATGAGGCCATATTTATACCTAGGTCTTTCAGACTTCATGCTCAGTACTCTATCCACTGAACTATCTAGGTCAATACCCCACCAAAGTACTCAGTATCTATGGGTAGAATGGGCACATACTTAAAAAAACACAAACTGTCAAGAGCATGTATGAGTCAGGAAAATCCACATTTCTCAGGTAACTCATAATTCTGGGCCTGTAGACTTTAGTGTTCTTTTTGTGTCTCAGGAACCACCCATAAAAGTTCCCAGAACATAACTTACATTTTTAATTCCAGAGTTTAGCAAGGTACATAGCATAAAGTAAGTGTTATTGCCTTGCCTTGCCTTGCAATCTTTACTTAGGGCCCTAACTACCATGGCAAGAAAGAGTTGGCTGGAAAAGGCCAAAACAGCTAGCCCATTCAAGGAAACATATATAATAAGACTATGCATGGGACCCTAAGTTTTTAGTACTATCAACTTATCTGATCAGGGACTCAAGAGGTAGGTGCAATTGACAATTCATGTCACATTGCTTCATCCGGAAGGCATACAACATGGCCTATTATCATGGACGCCATCATTTTAAGTTTGTCATCACATTAGGCACAAGGGGGAAAAATGTTCAATTCTATATCTGTGCACAATGTTTAAGAGTCAAGTTAGTGCAGTCCAGAAACAAATGTTCAGTTGTAGGAAATATAAAGGTGTTCACAATTAAAAATATGCAGATGAGTTTTTCCTTAAGGATTTCCTTCTAAATACAGGAAACATACATCAACCTTTGCCAGTGATTATCCAAGAGTTAGCACTTTAAGGGATCCTAGATTTCATCTAGTACAATTCCTTGTTTTATAGATGAAGCAATTATAGCTCAGACAAGTCTACATCCCAGTAGCCTACCTAGTTTGAAAGGGGAAAAAATACCACTTTTCAAATGTCCAAGTTTTTCTCTTAATGTGATTTGAGATGTGATAGAATCTCTCAAAAGGTGACATCAACAAAATTTGACTTACCAGACTGTTCCAGATTGAAGAACAGAAGAAACTGTCAAGGCTTTATCAAGATCTTTGGTAAAAACAGCTCCTGATAAGCCATAGTGGGTATTGTTGGCCCTCTTGATCACTTCATCTATAGTTTTGAACTTCATGATTTGTTGGACCGGTCCAAAAATCTGCTCCATAGAAAGAAGGAGAAAGAAGTGGAGGGAATGAAAGAGAGGGAGGAAAGCACATAAATATGAATCAAATCAAGGTGACTTTTTTGTTGTTGTTGTTGTGTGAACAGTTTGTTTTTGTTTGTTTGTTCATTTAGTTTGGGGTATGAATTGAAGCTTTACAATTTTTTTATGAATGAATGTTTTCCTAAAATGACATATGAAATCACTTTGGAGTAAATTGGTCCCCATACTCATGTGTTAGAGTTATATCTACGGCAAGTAATTTTTATCAGACAGACTATAAACACTTCAAGATCAGAGACTGGTTTTAGATTTGTGTTTGTATTCCTAGTGACTAGCGTAGTACCTTGCACATAGCAGGTATTTATTTGATAAATACTTGTCGAATGAATGTCTTAACGGAAAACAGGTCAGAGGGTACCATAGCGCAGTAGAGAGAATGCCAGAATCAGAATCAGAGGACGTGGGTTCTCATGTTGGCTCTGCTAATTACCACCTGTTTGACATTGCTCAAATCACTTTGCCTTTTTTTGTCTCAGTTTACTTATCTGTAAAATGAGGGGGTTAGAATAAATGATCTCCAAGGCCCCTACAAAGCTTTAGAGCTATGACTCTATACTTCAAATCCACTGCATTTATATCAGAAGTCAAATTTCAAGTGATGATTTTTTTAAACTTCCCACTTGTACTTTTAATTTTTGATGAAAACTACATAAATATCCCAAAAGTGTCGGGGTGATTTTAAGCTGCAATAAAAGCTTAAAACTGCACCAAGATTTTGGGGACACCCTATAGCAAGAACAAGCCTCAGAAGACAACACTGGCCTTCTGGAAGAAGGTATTCATCAGGGTGTGAAGTCATTTAACTACAAATATTCCATCAGATTGAGTTCATTTTATGATCTGGTCTCTAGCCTATAATAGTACCTGTAGTCAGGAGTCACTTGACTAGGTCTCTTTTTTTTCTTTCAGTGAGGCAATCAGGGTTAAGTGACTTGCTCAGGGTCACACAGCTAGTAATTGTCATGTTTCTGAGGCCGAATTTGAACTCAGGTCCTCCTGACTCCAATGCTGGAGCTCTATCTACTGCACCCCCTAGCTGTCCCACTTGATTAGTTTTGAACCTAGAATGGAAGAAAGGATTTGGATAAAAACAAGGAGTGATTCAATTGTTCAGAAGTCAGCTCCCCTCCTTCACCTCCCATGGTCTATGAGTGAATGCAAGATCCAATCAGAAGGAATCATATCTTTTGCTTATGAGCAGAGTGACCCTGGGCAAATCACTATCTCTCTGGGCTTCCATTTTCTTCATCCTAAAATTAAGGAATGTGACTAGATGATTTTTAAGGTAGTTTCTAGCTCTAAATCCTGAGTTCTATGATCCTACCCTAACCTGGGTATTCCTTCATCCTCTACTTGTGGTTTCAGAGTTGGGGAAGGGAGTTCAAAAACCATGTACTTAAAAAGTTTTTTTTTTTGTTTGTTTTTGGCTAGGCAATGGGGTTAAGTGACTTGCCCAGGGTCACACAACTAGTAAGTGTTTTGTGTCTGAGGCCGGATTTGAACTCAGGTGCTCCTGGATCCAGGGCTGGTACTCTATCCACTGTGCCACCTAGCTGCCCCCCCCCCATTTCTTTTTTTGGCTAAATTCTAATGGTTTTTTTTTTTTTT